GAAATCGAGCACTCTGCGTTAGAAGCTTTAAGGAAATCAGCAGTTTCTGAGTGCTTTTTATCTTCTCCGGAAGGTTCGTTGAGTTGAAAAAGCTCAGTGAGATCATTTGTCTTGAAAAATCTTTGTTGTCGTGGGTTCTTCAGGATTCGATGGGTAAGAAATTGCTTGAATATCTGTCTAAATGTAATAAGAATGAATAATCAATAGGATAATTTCAAAAATCACACTGAGACTCAATAAACTTGAGGTACTATAAAAAACTAGCTTATCATAGGAGCCATTAATCAGATAATTAAATTTAATGTGAAATGAATATTACTAAAATCCCCAACCTAATTATGCGTTTCAAACCAACTCAAATAGCACTTTCTAGAATGTCATAAATACTTTGAAGAATACAAATTAAAACATTTGAAACAAAGGAAAGAATGATAAACGATAGTGACAGAAAATAGAAAAAAAACTGTGAATAACACAAAATGTGATATGTTTAAAGGCATGAAATTTATGCTAGTTATTAGGAGTATTCCAGTAGTATAGGAATAAAGCCTATTATAATTTAAAGAGTGAGTGAAAAATTGAACAGGACTCAGCTTAATATTCCAAATGTGTACCTGTGATAGATCTTCTCTTCAATGGTGCCAGTTGTTAAGAGGCGGAAAATGGCGACGTCTCGATTCTGACCGATACGCCAGGCACGTTCTCGCGCCTGGAGGTCTGTGGTAGGATTCCAATCTGGGTCAAATATTATTACACGATTTGCAGAGGTCAAATTGATACCAAGACCTCCAACTCGAGTGGTAAGGAGGAACAGAAAGATGTCGCATTTGCAGGACCTTAAGGTATTGTAAATACAAAAAAACGGAAGTAGAAGCATCCGTAAAAAGGGTGCTTATGATAGATTAATATACTTGGTTTCTAGTATGAATTTTGTTTTAATGTACTCAAGAAAAAAATAGGGCGTAATTTTGAAGTAAATCAGGCATTCAAAATCAAGTAAACTTTTACAATAAAAGCACATATATTGTCACAAGGTGACACAAATGATGTTTTCTGGCAAACATTCAATACAAAATCTTACATTTGAGGAAAAGTAAATAACCTGAGAACATAACATCAAGGTTCTGCCAGATTGGCACAAAAAAACAAAATCGACTCAGCGAAAAATTACCACTATTACATTTGATATAGAATTGGGCTCAATTTAATATAATACAATATCAATCGAAGCATAATTACAATTTTTCAAGAAATCTATCATTTTTGCTATAGGAAGCAATTTAACGTTATGATATTTTATCGGATCAAAACTAGATACAGAAGTTGTTTGACCTTGTTTTCGCAACTTGGTCATAATGGTAGGAAAACTGATAGAAACGCACCTTGTC